TCGAGGACAACCAGCACAGCTACATGGGCCACCAGCGCAGCTACGACGGCAGGAAGCAGAGCCTGGATAACCACCCGCAGCTACCAGGGCCACCAGCAGAGCTACGACGGCAGGAACCTAAACTTCGAGGGCTGACAGAGAAACGGGGGCCACCGAGCTACGAAGGCCACCAGCGGAGCTTCGAGAGCCACCACTTGAGCTAGGAGGGCCACCAGCAGAGCTTTGGCGGCAGATCGCTACGTGGGCCTCCTGAAAGTCCCTCCGAGGGGGCCCCACTCTGCCGCCGGCCCCACTCTGCCGCTGGCCCCCTTCAAGGTCTCAAACGGCCCGGGGACGACCCAAGGGCGCCCCAAGCCGGTCCAAGAGAGTCCCGAGCAGTCCAAGAGAGCCTCCAGACGGTTCCAGATCGCTCCAAGACGCCCAAGATGGCCTCCAGACGGCCCAAGACGCCTTCAAGACGGCCCAAGAGGGCTCCAAGAGCACCCCCAAGACAGCCCCGAGAAGCAAAAATCATTGATTTTCAATGGTTTTTGAAGGATTTTCACGTTCACGCCATTTCGGCTTACCCACGCTCCACGACGGCCCAAGAGGCCCCCAAGATCGCCCTAGGACGGCCCAACAGGCCCCCGAGACGGCCCCAAGACGGCCCAAGAGGGCCCCCAGCCCGCCCAAGAGGCCCCCAGGACGGCCCAAGAGGGGCCCCAAGATGGCCCCAAGAGGAGGCCCAAAAGGGGAACCCGAATGAACATTTCGAGCTTTCGGTTCAAGAGGCCCCCAGGAGGCCCTAAGAGGCCCCCTGGAGGCCCCCAACAAACCCCAAGAGAGCCCCAAGAGGCCCCAAGATGGCCCCAAGAGGTCTCCAAGAAGCCCCTGGGACGCCCCCAAGAGGCCCCTGGAGCGTCACGACGTTCGATGCTGCGCACCACTTTGACAAACTCCCAGGGGGCGGCCGGTGATGTGCCGCCGGCGTCCTCGATCGCTACGTGGGCCACCAGCCGAGCTACCCCGACAAGAAGTATAGCTTCCAGGGCTGCCACTTGAGCCACTAGAGCCACATGCAGAGCTACGGGAGCAATGGCCAGAACTTCGAGGGCAAGCGGCTGAGCTACGAAGGCCACCGTCATATCTACAACGGCAAGAAGCAGATTTTCGAGGGCCACCATCTGCGCCGCGAGGGCCGCCAGCTGAGCGCGCTGACGCCCCGCGGACTGCTGCCGCGGCAGCGCCAGAGAGGTGCCCAGTAGTCTGCGAGAACACAGCAGGGGTGCTCGCAGAAGGACGCGCTGCGAGACTAATTGGGCTGAAGTAGTGGTCTCAACGGGCTTGAAGGTGCGTTTGGCTGCTTCGACTTTGTTAGAGGGCGCTGGGCCTTCCTGTCTGGTACCGTATCCTCCAGTCCCAAGATGGGCAACTTCGAAGCAGCCGGTGCACGTGTGAAACGCCAGTTCGGCGCTATCTTTCAGCGGGCTGTCGAATCACTGAAACAAAGTGTGCGTTCGAGAAAGTGTATGATGTGGCAGCTGCGTAAGGGCAGTCAAGCGTTGAATTTTGTCGGACGATGTGTGGGTATGAACGGGGCTTCGACGTGATACGCGATCAGATAGCCGATGCCTGAGTGAGGGCCAGCGGCACGCAGCGAGGGGCGACTCGCCCCCACTCCTCTCACCCCTTCATATTCGACGTGAGATTGGGTCCTCTTTCTCCTTCCCTCCCTCCTCGTGGAGTGGGTCGACCAGTGCCGTTGGTTTTGCTGTGCCACTTCGCACGGGCTCTCTTCAGGTGTTCGGAAGGAGGAGGATCATGTAACACCTGACAACAGGAAAGGCGCCATCCGCGCAGCCGCATATCACGCGGGGTGGAGGCGGAAAAGGAGGAGGATGAAAAGGAACAGGACGAGGGAGGGAGGGAGATCTTTGCTTCCCCCTCTTTTCTTCCCAACTGCCGCGCCGTCCCCCACGGGCCGTCGGCCCTTACGGCCTATCGTTGCGAGGCGTTTCGGGGGTTTCGTCATGCGACCTCCATTAGTTGTGGGTGGGGAATTGCGCAGTCCGCGGGTGCTCTCATCAGTTTTACCGATGCCAGCTGCCAGCGGCAAGTCCCTTGGCCGTGCCTGCCCAGCATTCTGACGAGAGGTCGTCAAGTGTGACACCTCGTGCCCCCAGGTTTGGCAATGCTAGAACATGTGAGACGCTCGTCCGCGTCGTGTCGAAGGTTCTCTTCTCGTGTTCGTCGTCTTCCATCCTTTCGTTTTCTCTTGGGTTCCTGTGGGGCCGTCTTGGGGGTCCCCTGGGGCACTCTTCAGCCGTCCTGAGGCCTTCTTCGGCCATCCTGGGGTTTTCTTTGGCCGTGCAGGGGCCATCCTGGCCGTTTGGGAGGCATCTTGAAACTGTCGTGGGTCCGTCTTGACGCCGTCTTGGGCCGCTGAGGGTTGGTCTGAGGCCGTCTTGGGTTTTTCCGGAGGCCCTCGGCCAGCTTAAGGCTCTCTTGCGTCCGTCCTGGGCCGTCTAGGGGCCGTCGATGGGACCCTTTGATACCGTCTTGGGCCCCTCCAGAAGCCGTCTTGGGCTCTTCTAGGGACCGTCCTGGGCCTCCTGTTTCGGGCTTTCTTGCGGCCGTCCTGGCCCGTCTAACGACCATGTTGGGGATCTAAAAGGCCGCCTGGAGCCGAAAGGAGCCCGACGAAGGGGAGGACGCTCAAATCTTGAACAACTTTGTCGGGGCCTACTTTTGCGGACCGTCTTGAGTCTAATCATCTCGGCCGTCTTGGGGCCACCGGGGGCCGTCTCGGATAAAGCTTGGACCGTTTTGGCGGTCCTAGTCCGAGTGCCCTGCCTCGGCCCTCTTGAGAGCTCGGGTGCTCGGATCCGTTCTTCTCTCTTGCTGAGAGGGGTCGCTGTCTCTGGAGCGCAGATCCATGTTCTCGTGGGAGGGATCGTGGCATCCGGAGAAGGGGTATGCACACGATGCTCTGCTTCGAGAGGGTGGGCGAAGCCCCAGGAGAATGCAGACATTCTCCTGGACAGCACTTGGCACACCACCACGCCTCCTCGTGCCAGTGGGGACGGTGGCGGATTTGAGTGCAGCGAGCTGTTATCCCTTGTGGGCGGTCTGTTCGGAAGCTTTGATCTCCGCGGCGCGCTGCAGCGCTAGAGGAAAAAGAACTGTGCACATACACCGATTCTGGCCAGGCCCATCCTGAGCCCAGGATCGGTGCATACGCCCTCCTACCTTGGCCAGGAAGGCATATGCACCGATCCTGGGTCAAGGATGCGCCTTGCCAGAATCGGTGCATGTGCATACTTCTCTTCGCCCGAAGCGCATCCCCTCCTGCAAGGGCGCGTTCCTCCTGTACACGCTGGCCAGCAGGCGCCTGAGCAAGCTGATGGCCGAGGAGTGCCACCGGCGCGGAGTTCCCTGTATCGACGCGCTCGAGCCCGTGCTGGCGGCCATGGAGAGGACCTCGCCGTCGTCTTCCTCGTCGTCGTCCTCGTCGCTGCTCCTCCTTCCGCCTCCTCTGGCGATCGCCGTGCACGCCGATCCCGCTCATGTCTGCTCACTGGCATGACTCGGATCAGACAGCGAGTGCCAGCCGACCGCCCTCTCCCGTCTTCCTTCCTTCCTGCCTTCTCCTGCGCTCGCTCTCTTTCCCTCTACCTATCTCTCTTCTTCCCTTCAGGGCATGCCAGATGTGTCCCATGTACTGCTCGTCCCCAGGGTCTCCAGAGAGGCCGCCGCGGCTTCCAGGGACTTCCGGTGTTCAGGCATTCGCGCCTTGCATCCTTCCGTTGGAGGGCCGTGTCCCGAGGCGGAGCCCCCCTCCCGAGGCGCAGAGGGCACGCTGGGCTGAGCGAGCAAGGACCAGGCACCAGGAAGGGCGCGTTGACAGACTCGAGGCTGCGCCGGTGGTAACCGAGTGGAAGAATCAGGGCACGTGTCGAAATATCTGGCCAGAGGAGGAGGAGGAGGAGGAGGAGGAGGAGGAGGAAGAGGAGGAGGAGGAGGAGGAGGAGGAGGAGGAGGAGTGGAGGGGCAGACGAACCTGCAGAGGAGTTGGACAGACCTGGGGAATCGTGGGGTTCGTGTTCTGTCGGCCTGTCTGCCCCTGGGCCTCCTTCACGGAGGGCACGCCGGGCCTCCTTCACGGAGGGCGCGTCGTGGCCGCCCGCCGCCGCGCATCGCCTCCCGTCGCGGCACATCGCTTCCCCCGCAGAGGCGACTTGGGCCGCGGCGCAGCCCGGCACCAGAGGGCGCCTCGGCGGAGGGCCGCGGCGCGCGCACCGTCTGCGGGCAGCACTCGTGTCCATGCGCTCATCGGCACGAGCGAAGTGGGCACGGAAAGGATGGTAATCAATGCCCAGCAGCGGATCCTGTTCGCTTTGCACAGGACTCGCTGTCCACGCCACCGCGGCCTGTGTCCATGCGAGACAGGAGGCCGCCTGCCCAACAGCCTCCGCTGTTGATTTGGGACAACATTTGTTGTTGGGCGTTCTACCCATTCTTTCCGTACCCATTCCGGGCGTCCAAACCTCAGGGGAACAAGCCAAGCATGGCGTCAGCATGAGCTCTCGGAGTCCCGCGCGGATTCCTGGGATCTGCGCCGGGCCCCCCTGGCGCCGCCTCTGGCGCCGCCCCTGGAGCACTCCGCGCGCCAGGGAGGGGTGTCCGGCGCAGCTCCAAGACGTCCGCGCGCACTGTCGACACTTTATGTTTGTGCCATTTTTTGTTTTTTTTTGTTTTTTGTTTTTTTTTGTTTTTCCTTCTTCTTCTTCTTCTTCCAATCAGTACGTCCTGGACTTTTTCGGAAGTGGCGCTGCAAGGCCCAGGTGCACGGGATATGAACCAGAATCGGGCCCCTGGGGGCCAGGTTCTGATCCATACCCGCTGCGCCTCGGGCTTCTGGGGAAGGGAGCGCGAAACTGCAAGCTGCAGCGGATATGGACACAAGTCTTGCCCGCACCATCTTCGCGGTCTCAGATGGGTCCGGCTCGAACGTGTGCCAGGCCGCGCGCGGGGGGGGCGAATGTTTTGGAGAGGGTGGCGAGGGGAGGTCCCCCCAGCGAGGCATGAGGGCTCGAGGATCGAGCATTTTTTTGTGGGCGTCGTCTCCCCTTCCCTGGGGCTCCGAGCCTCCACGGCGGGAGTCGCCTCTGAGAATGTTGGCCAGAGCGCGCCCCAGGAGAGGTCTGGAGAGATCGAGAACGAAGACGGGGGAGGAGGAGGAGGAGGAGGAGGAGGAGGAGGAGGAGGAGGAGGAGGAGGAGGAGGAGGAGAAGGAGGCGGAGGAGGAGCTCGCTCGCTCGCAATCTGCACATGGCCGTGTCCCGCCAGTCTCGCACGAGGTCTGTTGGCCTCAGGGCGCATGGAGGGTACTGTACCCCCCGTCGGTGTCAAACTCATGGGGAGCCCTTTCCCCATGCTCAAATGGGGACTCCCCCTAAGCAGGGTGCAGGGTCGAGGGGCCTGCACAGAAGAAGCGTGCTAGTGATCCTCACGGATCGTGGAGGGGGGGAGCGAGAGGAGAGGGGAGGAACCACAGACGAACCTGGTTCGCGACCGACGGGTCGCAGGAAGAACACTCACGAGCATTCAGGGCGCCCAAGTTTCAAGCGAAACAAACCCAGTGAGCCGTGTCGTTTCCCGTGTCCTCGTCGCCGCCAGTCATCGCCGAGTCGCCGAGCTGAGGCTGAGGGGGTGCTGTGCGTCGTCGTTGCTGTCGAAGCTCTCTCTATGCCCGCCGCTGCCGCCAGCGCTGAATGAGTTCTGAGCCGAGTTGTCCGAGATTCTCTTCTTCGCCTGATCGAGCTCCGCGGAGCTCACTTCTATGGCCCACGACATCTAGGCTGAACGAGAGGGTAGCGTCGGGGAGCGCAACGTGGATCCTGATATGTACTTGAAGAGCCGCGAGCGACGGAAAGTCAACACTGCACGCAGGACACTGTAGGCTGGGCGGTGGGAAAACAGGATGATGCACAGGGCTGCGGTCACACTGACAACTGCGACGAAGAAACAATATGCGAACATGTTGACGAGAAATCGCAATCGTGGAATGCGTACTCATACACCAAGGGCATTGATTCGTGATGGCGAGAAGCTGGGATAACGCACGATGTCCATGACTACCTTCAGTACTGAAACGCATGTGAGCATACCACGCTGCTTGTCAACAAACTCTCGGCCACATTCAGTGCCATCAGCGCGGGTTTCGGACCACCTCTGCACTTCCTGGACCACCTCTGGCACCATCACCTCCTTCACCGTCTCCTCCTCCCCGTGCCTCCTCTCGTCGCCGCCCTGTTTCATCAATGAGGCCATCCCAAAACTTGTTCCTGAGCTTGCCGAAATTGAGCTCCGAAAACTTGACGCGGAATTCCTCCGAGAAGACCTTCAGGGGCTGATGTCCCATTTCTGTAGGAGTTCTGGGCCTCGTTCGACGTGGGGGAGCATCCGCAGATCATTGAAGCCTTGAAGGGCCCACGGGTTCCCAAGACACTTCCCATCTTCATCCCGAGCAAGGTTGCGATGTTCGAGCGTGGGCCTCTCCTCTCCGCTCATTTGGCCGAAAAGGGCAGGCAAAGGCTGGACATTCTCGCGGCGGTGACGCGCCGGCTGCTGCAACCAATGAACTCGTCGTGTGCGGAGTTCCAGTCGCGAATGAACAAGGCCGAGCTTAATCCACAACCGTGTCGCGAGAAGGCCAACATGCTTGACCGTGCCGTCGGGTTGCGACAACTTGCGTGCAGCCGCTCCCTTAAGTAAAATTCTGCCCCATTTGAGCAGCAATCCATCAGTGAGGTTAAAAACGCTCGGAACAAGGATGAATGCCTCCAAGCCGCTGAGACCTGCCGACTGCACACGCGCCTGTAACACGAGGAGCTGAATGAAGAGAGGGACGTGCTTGACATACCAAAAACGACCCATGGCGTGCCACGCGGTGCGCATGTTCTTGTAGATTGCGTGTCGTTGCTGTGCTGTAGTCCCCATCCCATGATACTGCGCACCCAGATATTTCGCATACATGCTGACGACCCCTGGGAGGTTACGACGAGGATAAGTAAACGAGCGAGACTCTCGGAAAGCCCCTGGTCCCACAAACCTAGGAGCTGTGACCTGCTTATCATGTTGGAGCGCGCCTCCAGCCAAAAAAAGGTGTTGGGTGAGACTGTCGGTCGCCTGCTGGACGGCGTCGGCCATCTCGTCAGCCGTCGTGAGATTTTGTTCCCGGGGGGTGCGCTGACGTTCAGCAATTCACGGGGCGAGCACACCGCGGTCATAACTGCGGATATACTTGACTGGTGCTGACTGATGACCCTGCAGAACCCCTTCCTGGATCAGAAACGTCCCAACCCCGACTGATCAGTCGAGCGTGATGGAACTATGATGACTACTGTGATGGCCAACAAAACATCATCAGGATGAATATGACGATAGCCCTTATCGTCTAATATGTCAGCACGGAGACTGCCGGAGGCGTTAGCTTGATCGTGCAATGCGACTTACCAAGGCGTGCAAGCCTCCAGCCCGTGATCAACTGAAGTTTGATGGCAGGCTCACGGCGCCTGTGTCGAACGCCGCCGTGCAAATCATCTGCACACTCGCGCTCAGGGCAGCACTGGTCGCCTCTGGTGCCTACACCTTAGGCGATGCTTAAGAAAACTTAAGTTTTCGGCCAGAGTCTCGATTATTCTTAACGTTTCAATGTAAATCCTAAGATTTCAATAGAAATTTCGGTTTTTATTCAAGTTCTGAGACTATAAATTTCTCAACCCATGATTTCTTAAGCATTTCGCAAGGTGTATGTACCTCGCATATGCCTTGCTGAACGGGCACATGCGGTGTACGAGCCGAAGAGATTTCAGCCCTGGACTGGTGGCAGTCGGGTTCGGAATGCTGCATCCCCACGAGCGGTGCCAATCGACAGGTGCCCGCCCTCCTCCTCGGACGTCCCAGAGAAACCCACGAACTCTTCGAGAACGCCATTCCATGCTGGGGTTGTCGTTCCTGACCCGTGCCTCCTCCTCATATTGCCAATGCCGATGATGCGGTATAAGAATCGTCCGAACGATTTCCATGGGCAGACTCCAGGGAGGGGTGCTCTCTCGATAGGACATCCGAAGGAGCGAACGACAGACCCCTTGAAGATCCGCTTCCGCCTCATCCTGAACGCCTGGCCCATATAATCTCCGACCTGAACCAGGTTCCTGGCGATCATCAGGAGTATCGGCCAACTCAATGGGCCGTGCTGACTGTCCACCTTCGGGCCCCCTTCTCCCAAGAAAGTCCGTCCACATCTGCACGGTCGGGCGCATGCTGATGGGGCTGTTAAGGACACGGCGACCAGGTCCTATTGTGGTGCATGCTAGCTGTCGGCAAAGACGGTGAACCATCGACCAGCGAGACGTTTTCCACGCATCGCGGATTTGGTTGGCAAGCGTGTGGGCCCGAACTTGGCGAGTCTCCTCCCGATCCTGCTTCAACTGACGAGTTAGTCTATGTAAGTGTTGCTGCAGGCGTGCAAGCTCGTGAAACTGCGGCAAGGCTGCAGGTTGTTCTCGCAACTCGAAGCGCTGATGAAGGCGAACACGTTGCCTCTCCCGTGCCTGTGCCCTCTCGGAATCCTCTCCCGTGTATCTGGCGAAATATTGAAGACTGATGGTTTTGATCTCCGTTACGCAGGTTACCCAGGCTCTGTCGGGGGTGGCTCGGGCCTCTAACTGGGACCACTGCGGGAACCTATCGTAGCACATCCTCTCCACATCCCCCAAGAGTTCATGCCGCCAGAGCCCGTGGAACGAGCCGTCGACAAGTCGAACATACTCCCAAGACTCAGCTTTGGTTGTGGGGGTCTCCGGGGAACTCAAGATGTAGTAGACCGAGGGCTGCAGGGGCCAGTGATCCCATCGCCAAACCGTGGGTACCATTTGGAGCCGCCTTCCGTGCCTTTGTAGGAGCCTGCAGTGGGTAACCGACGACATCCAAGAGTGCGGGGTTCCAAGATAGTCACTTCTGCTGCTACTCTGCTTCCCGAAATACGTGTCCTCCCCTCCTACGAACGTGTTGACAATACACAATCCATGCTGGTCCATGTAGGTTCGCAATTGCCTCATGCAGTAATGTTCGGGCTTCGGGAACAACGGGCCAACTGGGTCAACGTCGGACACAACATAGTCAGCGGCAGGGATCCCTGCATGATCGTTCAAGACCCCTCCGACAACACTCGAGCACCGTGCAGGAACTGTATTCGAAACATCTGTCACCCATTTCACAAGGGCATCAACCGATTTCTGATACATGCTCTTCTGCTTCGCCACCGACGGTCGAGGAGGAAACTAGACAGCAATCGCAAGCAAATGAAAGCGATCTGACCGAAGAACCACCGCACCGCCTCGGCCTTGGAGAGTTGGTTGTGGAGAGTGCACTGCAACAATGTGTTTGTGTCGAAACAAGTCATTCCGAAGTCGCATCTGAAAGCCTGCAGGGCCATTGGTGAATCGCCCCCGCCCATGCCCCCAGCTGAAACTTTGCGTCGAGGGATCCGAGATGAGGCTGCAACTGTTCTCTGTCGGTTTCAGTCGGATCCGAGTGCCTGTGAGGAACACGATGTCTTTCTTCGAGAAGGCCAGCAAACATTCCTGCAAACGACCAGGATGGCCGAGAGATCAACCATTGTGTTTAACGAAGGTAAGCGTACGCTGCATGCCCATGCCGCGCTGCTGGAAGGGGCTCCTCAAGAAGAGACGGGAGACATGGCGGCGCGGAAAGTAAGAGAGTGAAGGGGGTAACGATAAGGCGTGTAGAGTCAGCGTCGCGGCAGCGCTCGACGCCTGGAGGAGGAGGAGGAGGACGAGGAGGAGGAGGAGGAGGTTCCCAGACCTCCATCGCTGGCCGCGAAGGAAGGGAAGGGGGTCCTGGGAGTTTTTCCCAACCACCATGTGGTGTTGGGTCCTCGTTTTGTAGAGAGCGCCCCGCGCCCCTTCTTCCTCCTCGCCCTCCTCCCTCCTTC